ACCATTGTATTGGAAGGTGTTCATAATCTCCTCGAAGTCTATTAGATGTGTATTTAGATCTTCGTTCATCTTCCCTCTGAAGACACGATAGTTTTGCAGAGTTTGGGCAACCCTTGCTTCAATTCGAAATTGTTCGTAGCCACTGGAGGTGGTCTAACACTTGATAAGCCTTGGTTGTAGACCGGTCTAGAATAATCTCCAAGTGGTCTCCCAGCACCCAAAGGTTGATTCTAAACAATTCTTCGAGCCCTCTCCTCCTCATAGACAAGTTGTGCATTCCGAAGAGTTGTTTCCTCGGCATCCCTCGCAGCTTTTTCTCTTTGCTGGGCTGCCTCTCTTGCAGCCAAATCAATATTATCATCATCTCCCACCATAATTTCTTCGATTTAGGATTGCCCAATCTTCTCTATATTCTCAGGGAGATTTCGTTCCTTTCTTAGCTGTCGTAGTTGTTTTTCTATTTCTGGTTCATATGGTAACACTTCCTCTCCAGAAGATCGAGTCATGCACCACTCTTACCTGCAACCTGCGCACAGTCAAAGAACACCAAGTGTAAAATGGAAAAAATAAAATAAAATAAAATAAAAATTCCTGAATTAGCACTACAAACTATTTCAAACACTTTTGATTGCCAATCCTTGGCAATCATGCCAAAATTTGACGAGCGCAAAACATACACTTAGATATACTCGCTAGTCGAATATAGTATAATATAATATCGTATCCACATGGATTGGAGTTAAACACTATTTTCATAGTTTATAGCTTGGTTTCTATCCAAGATGATCAACAATTGAGAATTATGTGATTAAGAACTAAAATTAACTAAGAATCTAGAGCTAATTGACGAATGACAATCAAAACAAAAGTAAGCAAAGAAGATATCAACAGGAGAAAATAGGGATTGATTAGATAGGTGCAAGATAATTGTCTGGTATTTAACTCTAGTTAATTCACTTCAAATGTTCAAGTGAGTCTCTCAAATTCACTAAATTATTAGTTCAAACGTTTAGTAGAAACTCCTCTCTCGATTAAGTTTCAACGTCACAATGTGACTCAATTTAAGCTCGGTGAAGATATGCAAGAGTTCGTAGTGGATTGGTCTTTAGGAGAACCTCTTCCGATTATCCTCCTAACTAGGTCTAAAATATAATTCAACTAGCCTCTTTCGATTAGTAAGAAGAATTAATGAATTCAACCAACAAGATAATGCAAAGATATCGCAAGCATGCCTCTCTCAATTACATGAACATGTGAATATAGATGCAATAATTAAAACACCCAAAATGATTCAATGCATAAAAACTAGAGTTAATATCCATAAACAAATATCAATACACCAAATCAATCATTCCCTAAAGAGAACTACTCCATAGATATGGAGTAATTCATCACAAATATAAAGAAAACTATAAAATGATCCAAACTCTTGTCTTGAGTGAGGATTGAATGATGAATCCCTTGTGCTTTCGCTTCTCCACCTTCTCTCTAGCCTCCTTAGGTCTTAGATGTGTCAAAAGTCCATAAAATAACATTTTTACATGTATTTATACTAAGTAGGGTCGGGCCTAGATGAAAACACCTTTTCCTATGCGAACTGGGATAATAACTCTATAAAAATTGCACAGGCGTGCCGCATGGGGCGACGCGCCATGTGGGGCGGTTGTGGGAAACTTCAGAGAGCTTGTTCTAACAGGCTTTAGGAAAATTGGGCAGCCGCGGTGCGCCACGCTCCGCCCCACGCGCCGCGGCTGTGGGACTTTCTCTAAGTACGAACTTTTCTTTCTTTTTAGCTATCCCGACGTGGTTTTCAAGTAAATTTCCATATTTTAGGTTGGGAGATCTTAGCACCAATATACCACCGTGATTTTAGCACGGAGTCCGATCATGGTCCGATCGGCTAGGGCGTCTCACCTAAAGACATCAACCACGATCACAATTATTACCTCAACCTCAATCATTGTTTCAATCATAATCTCAAGCACAATCACCACTATGTGTGCGGCATGGCGTCCGATCATAACCCGAACGGCTAGGCCGTCTCACCATAATGTCGTGTGGATCGACATCACCCTTTTCTAGAAATCATATCATCCCAATAAAGGGGAATATTCTCATAACATCAATCTCATCCCAATAAAGGGGTACAATCACAATTCACTCCTACACTGGCTCGTGTAGTTTCGGGGTTAGGTTATTTCAACCTACCCTTCCTCGGTGACTAACGATACTCCCAGGGTATTTATTTATTTAAATGATTGACTACTTATTTCATTATCCTTTATATATCATTCATTTAATTGGCACAAATGGCCATAACACAATGTCACTCTTGGCATGTTGGCCGTATTTCATATTTCATGTTCATCTCTTTCACTTTCAAATATCTTCACGGATCATCAACAACTAAGCATTTCTATTCAAGACTTTAAGTCCACATGTGAGCAAATAAGAATGTTAAACACATTGAGATTTCTTATACAATTTGGCATAATAGCTTTTATTTGAATCACGACTTGAAGTTATAACATTTAGATATACAACCCATGCTTTGAGCATATTTTCAAATAGAACATAACATAACATAACAAGACCATTTGGAATACATATTGAACATATATCTTTTGACACAAGGCTTATGTGGAATAATCAATTTATAATGAACAACTCGGGACTTACAAGGACATTGTGGGGTTCAATTCTAAGAGAGAAGTTTAGCCAACATACCTCGCCTCGAGCTTTTTAAATTACTATAATATTCCGGAATTCTTAGCCACTTAGATCTATTAGAAATATAGCAAAATTGAACACAAATTAGGAAGGGGTTTATGGTTCCAACTCATTTGTGCATTTTATCAAACACTAGGTGTGCATTAAGGTTTCAAGGTCCTCCTATGGTAGATCCCTTCATCCCACTACCCAAAGTTTACCCAAACGAGCTCAAAAATCTTCCCACTACCCTTGATGGTACATGCATGCATAATGAACAACTCCCACACCCAACAATTCCTTTTCTCATTACCTATTTTCAATTAAAACCCGGAATTGAGGGCTAGGGAGTAGAATCTTACCTCTAGGAAGAAAACCTAGTGAGTTTTTCTTGTGAATTCTTCAACTTTGAGCAAGAGTTGATGATAAATAACCTTAGTAACTTTCCCTCTCACTCTAGACTACCCCCCCGCTCTAAATATCAATTAGCACCAGCCAAAATAACCCACAAGTTATTTTTATTAAAATGGGATCGGGTGAAATTTTCCAAACTTAAACTCTACAAAGCCAGGTTTGCGGTCACAGACCAGACCGCATAACAGGTATACGGCCCGCAAAGGGGACCGCAGAAAAGGGTCCCAAAACTGGGCTATTCGGGTTGGGTCTGTGGCAGGTCTACGGTCCGCAGACCAGTTTTGCGGTTGCATAATGGACCGCAGAACCTCCTTCTAAAATTTCTCATGTTAGCTTCTGTGACGAATGTATGGCCCGCAAAATGATTATGCGGCCACATAATTAACCGCAAAAATATCACCCCAAATTTGCCCCTTTCTCTGCTTTACTCTGTGGCAGATCTGCAGTCCGCAGATCAGTTCTATGACCGCAGAAATACCTTACTCTGCCAAAGTTTTCTTCAACTTCCCAACGCGCTGTTCAACCCAACACATAAGTCTATCTTGGCATCACGAAACCCCAGGTTTTAGGTGAAATTTTACGGGGCCTTACACCAGAGCATCCTTGTGACTGTCGGAGCTCATCAACAAATCATTAATTGATATGTGGGTAGGGGTCTTTCTCAACTGTTCTTCTACGGAGTATTCTTTAACCGAAACCCTCCTCCAAACTATGCTGCCTCCACATCAGTTATATCTGATTTTGCTCCCTATTCGGATTCCCTTGGTTCACCTCTTCTGGAGTGTAACACCTTCCTAAGGTAGTCATCCTATCAGTAGCTGCAGTGTCTGTCATTTTACCCTTTTCCTTTGACTGATAAGTCCATGGAACTATTTTATATTCTCAACTCCCCTCATCTCTAACAGTAGTGGTGGGCCATTGTTGGTATGTCTGAACTATAACAAGAGGTTTTAGCTACACAGTGATCAATGGAGTTACCCGATGTGGTGTTCTTGTAGCTTTGACATTCCCAATAGTAACGATAGTCCCTTTCAAGTCATAGTCCTCTTCTGATGTAATCATGTTGGATCCTTGGTTTCTGTGGTTTGGTAGTAGGTTACAATTTACATTTGGTGGGGCTGGGGTGCATTGGATAGCTCCACTCTTAATCAATAGTTCGATCTTATTCTTCAATCTATAACAATCCTCAGTGTCATTCCCAGGAACACCTGTATGATAGGCACAATGCTTGCTTGCATCGGAATATTTGGAGGGTTGGTCGGGGATTCTTCCTTCCACCGGGTATATTAGTCCGACTCTTCTCAGCCTCTCGAATAACTGGGCTAAAGGCTCGATGATTGGGGTGAAGTTTTTGGGGTTCCTTTCTTCAAAGTTTGTGCATAGCCTGGGTGCATAGGTAGGTCTGTTACGGTGGGTGGTGGTTTGAACTAGAGCATATGGTCGTGGTGGGTTTGGATGTATATTGGCTCGGGGTGGGTTGTAGTGGGGTTTAGAATTGTAGTGTGGTTAGGTGTTATATACTGGGGTATAAGTGGGTTGTTATGGAGGATGAGTGTTTGTGGGGTAGGATTTGGTCGGCGAGGAGGACTCAATTGATAGTAGGGGACGATCACCGTTACTTCTTCTTTCTTTTTCTTTCCACTGCTGATGGAACCGGATTGTATGACTTTGCTAGCAGCTTGTAGCACGACCATTGACTGTATCTTTCTTGACTTGATATCTTCTTCCAAGAAATATCCCATTTTGACCCGCTCGGGGAATTTCTGACCCATCATACCCATCATCTTTTCAAAATAAATTCACTCTTGAGCACAGATAAAATACTTAGCCACCTTGTTATCATCCAACGAAGGTTGTGCCCTAGTAGCTTCTGATCTCTAGCGGCGAGCATATTCTTGAAATGATTCAGAGGGCTTCTTTTGTAGATTCACCAAAGCGAATCTGTCCGGGTTGATCTCAGTGTTGAATCTGAAGCGATTCATAGAATCTTCATCCATTTCCTTCCATACCCTCCAATTCCTGGGGTATTGTCTGGTATACCAAGTAAGAGCTTCTCCATTCAGACTCCTTATTAACAACTTCATTCTTAACTTTTCGTTTTTCCCTACTCCGACCAACTTGTCACAATATACCCTCAAATGAGCGTGGGGGTCGCCTATTCCATAAAAAATATCAAACTTTGGAGGCTTGTACCTTTCGGGCATGTCAACATCGGGATGTGTGAATAGGTCCTCATAATCCAAGCTCTCACTCCCTCGAGCAATTTGGAGGTTTTTCATTTGTTTCCTCAATACTCGTAGTTGTTCTGACACTGATTCTTCTTCCTTGCATTTTGGCTCTCTCTTTATTTCGGCATATTGGTCTATCTCATAGGATACTCTGACCGTGACGGGCGTTGTAAAGGTGGGATCAAAAGCGGCATATACAGGTGGAACATACCGCTCATGTGTAGCCGTGTGTGCCGCAGGTATATACTGTGTATGGTTGTTGGTAAAAGTGACATTGTCACGAGCAGGGTTATGAGCCAGATTGGTGGTGGCTAGCGGATTTTATGGTGCTTGGACATAGTTTGGAACATAGGGTGTATGTATGGGAGGGTTTGATGGATTTGCGGGGGTTACTGGCAGTACGACTTGAGTTGTGGGGTTTGTGGCGATAACAGTTGGAGTATTGGTTGTTTCTCGTATTGATAAAGGAAAATGGTCAGGGATTGAATCTAGAGAAGGGAATCGGGGTGGTTGTGAAAGCATCGTCATGGCTAAGTGTGCCATCTCCCAGATCTATTGTACCTCTTATCTCAATGACTCAATCTCCGTTTCATTTGGGAAACATGTTCATCATTTCGGGTATCTTCCTTTCCCCCCGATCCCCCTGGGTTGTCGGCTACCACTAGAGCATTTTCGGTCGGGTCATCTATTGCAGTCATCTTCCCCTTGGATCTCAGATTATACGGTGGCTCGATCAGTTTATATACCAACACAAATTAACCTCTATTTTAGGAATAAATAAAGCGATAAAGCGAAAAAATAAAGAAAAGTTAAAGGTCAGCTTCAGGGATTGCACAAATATAAGCACATAGAGAAGTTAGTTCACGTATTCAGACAAGAGCATTTCCTAAGATACGTAAGGACCTCTCTTTGCTGGAGGTTGGACTATATCGCGAGCCTTTGACAAAACAATCAGATTTTGACACATTCGGTTCCGGAGCAAACTTTAATTTTCACTAACAGGATATACGTGTTACAAGCGGGACTACAAAGCTTCATCACTGATGGAAAGATGGGGACAATTGTTAATGGCTACAACATGATTCTCAAAGGTTTATAAAAGATTGCATGTGCTTATAGATTTTCCCTTAGGGAATGAAAGGTACAAGAAAGAAATTAACCCGCAACTTAATAACTGTCCCCGGAGTCTCCTCCCTAGCTTTCTTCTTCCGGTTCTTCCTCGGGGTCCTCTTCAATGTCCTCCGTATCCTCATCATTGTTGTAATTTGGTTCTTCCTCTGGATCCTCATTCGATTCTACCTCAGACTCGATCTGTATGTATTGAATCACCTGGTTATCGTCATCCGGTGGTGGCAGCATGTGGTCGACCGATAGTGAAACTACATGTCGATGCATGGCAGTGGTGATGAGATAGTGGGGCAGAATCTCGTGGTATTTCTATAGAGCTGCTGCTGAATCCTCCAATTCGATTAATCCATCTCTACTTAGCCTGGCCAACTCGTCTTCTTCGTTGATCCATACAAAGTATATCAGGCATGCACCAAAGAGTTTTCCGCATTCCCATTGTGATCAAGTCGTTCCATTCATCTTGGAGCCTCCGTACCCTCGGGATCAGAATCTGCCCGTTCCAATCATCTTCATACAAAGTTATCCTTGATCAGAGAGGTACATCTTGAATCAGACCAAATTTCCTCAGAACCCTCAGAGGTATCTACGGCTAAATCCCTTCTAGTCTTACCAACTCAATGAAGTACTTCCCCCGGCTTCTCAAGATTACCCTGCCACTCAACCAGGAAAGTTTCCAAATGATGAATTCTCCACTCAGATGGGTCAACAGTTCCTGCCATTCCTCCTGGCCATGCGGTGTAGTCCAAAGCCTCATCCTTTCATTATGGTTACAGATCATGTTACTGATGCCAACAAAGTAGTCAACGGTTACTTCCCTCTAGAAGAAGTGGTCTATAGCCCATATTTGTAGTAACAAGTTGCAACCTTTGAAGAAATCATATCCTCTTGAGCATGCTGACAGTGCTCGAAATGTCTCTGCCAGTATCATAGGAATGAGGGTGACCTGCAAATTTCCTCGGAAGGTTGCCAAAACCAGGGGTAGTAGGTTGATATTGATTCGTCCCTTTCTTTATAGGAAAACAACAGTCCCAATAGTGCTAGAGAAAAGGTTAAGGGGCGGAGGCTCTCCCATGCTGCTTGATCATACTAGAATTCCTTAATATCCCACTCATAGCTCTCCCGGTGCCCGAATTTGTCAAATAGTTGGTCCAGACTTATCCATCCATCCTCGACGTTTCTCAAGTTTCTATTATTCGTCAGACCCAATGCATGTAGGAACCTATTGTCTGGCATAACGACTGGCAATATTGGTTTCCGCCTGGAGAATGGTAACTCTGTGAAGCTGGTAATCTCCTCTAGTGTTGGCGTCAACTCACAATCAACAAATTTGAAGACCACCTTAGCTGGGTCCTAAAACTCTATCAGCAGCCTAGTGAGTACTTTGTCAGCTCGGATGTTCATCAAGGCGGTTAGTGCTCCTAGGTGTGTTCTGATATCGTTCTTGTGCTCTCGTCGAATGTTCCTCCACCACTGCTTCAATTTGTGAGGTGCACCCATGGTCATGTTAATCTCGTGGATGTTGTGATTGATTTCTATCTAAAGAGGTAAAAGGCTTGGTAAGTATTTGCTCTAGATATTTAGTGTCTTAAATGGATTGGTTCATCGTTCCATAGAAGGTATGTCGTTGGGTGCATAACGCATTGACATTAAGGTGGTTTTCCTAATCGTGAGTCAATACTAAGGACTGACCCACCTAAGGTTTATGCAGCATGACCTATGTTTGCTAAGAGTAGAGTGTTTTCTAATTTTGGAGTTAGACTGAATAACTGCGAGATGTTATGTCAGTAGACCTGACAAAGTCGTTCTCTTAAACTAGAAAGTTTTGAAAGAAGGTTCGGAGGGGTGTAAAAGACAACCCTCACGTGTCATTTGTGTGCGATTGTGTTCGGCCAAGACTCGATAGGAAAAATGTGATGACAGTGTATAAAACAGTAACATATAATTGTTGTAAAGTAGTAATACAAGTAAACAAGTAAGCATGTATGAACATATTGTAAAGTGTAAGCAAGTAGAATAAAGTGAATAAACATGTATTTTTAGGTTAGGCATAATTAAAGCAGAACATAACAAAACATCTTCAAAGTTCAAGTCTAGCCTAAATCTGCTAAGGTCAGAACCTAAATGTGAAAATCACCAGCAGAGTTGCCATATTGTTGCACTCTATTTTGTATCACTCAAAATAAAATACAACTAATGGTTCTTCTGAAGTTGATAAAAAGAGAGTCGCCACCTAATATTTTAAGGTATATTAGGGTACCTATAGATTTTTGAGATTATTATCCTAATGGTCTGCTAACCGTTGTGATCTGGGTAAGGGTTCTAGTTATTCTAACGGGAAGGTGTTAGGCACCTCTCAAAATCTACATGAGGTAGCTCCTTAGGCTTAGGCTAGGTTCGGGAAATGAAAAGTCTATATTCTGCTTAATCCTGTTTTTAAAGTTTGTGAAAAATATTCTAAGACTTATCTAAAAATTCACTATTTTGAGAAAGGAAGATGTATATACTTTTGAAAAGAAAGATGTTATCTATTTTTGCGTTTATAATTAGGAAATCATCTTTTGAAATATATATGTATACTTATTAAGTTGAAGACTAGATATGCTTTTATTTTCGAGAAAGATCTTGTAAAAATTCTTTGTTTTGAAAGAAGTTGAGTATATCCTTTTAAAGAAAAGGGTATTACTTATTTGTAACTTAGTAGAGTAAGAGACCATTTTGAAAATATACCTCAAGTTGAAGTGAGTATACCTTATTTGCAAATCAATTTTCAATGGGAACCTTGTATTTAAAATCCGTTGAGGTTCATCATTTTGTAAGCTTGGTTGAGTTTGGCTTTTACTTCTTGAAGACGACTTCTTAAATTATTTTCGAAATTTCATTTTCCAAAGAGAGCTTGTTTTCGCTTTTGAATATGCCGAAGTCTAAAAATTATTGAAAATCATTAGTGATAACAAGATAAGACCTTTCATTTATTTGAAAGATAGGTTTGAAAATTAATTAGTGATCAAACTCTAAAAGATCTAAAGTGAGCAGAATTTCTAAACAACAGTATGTACTGACCTTCTGCAGGGCAGCAAACCAAGAAAATGTTGATCCTTAGCCGTTTGAAATCACAAACTCACAACAGTCCAACTCACAACAATTGAACTCACCTAGAAATGAAAGACGAAATCAAGAAATTAGAGAAGAATACTACTGAAACCTAGATTTACCAGAAGAAAACTTGAACTTTTGATTTCTCAGTGTATATGTGATTGGTGTTGGTGTGTATTGATATCTATCGACGTCTATTAGAGTCTGTTAGGTGAGAGAATTTAAGGCCATATTTATAGTGACCTTCAACTACTTAGGGTTTCGGCAGATTCAAATTTGATAGTGGGAAGTGACGACTGTGTGGGTAAAATGATTAGGGTTTAGAGGTGTTTGGTTGGTTTAAGATGAGAGATAGAATATGGGCAGTTGGATCTTTGAATAAACAAACATGATATTTTAGGGGATAAACGTGTAACACCCCGGAAAATTTTGAAGAACTTAAGTGTAAAGCCCGATAAAATTTGCAAAGAAAATAATATTTCATGGTACCGGACTAGGCTTACGTGTTTGAGGATTATAGAAATTCTTCACGACGAGCTTGCTCGCCGTGGCTCGGACCTTTTGGGTTGAACAATGCACGGTAAGGTAAAGGAAAATTTTTGGCGAAAAAGTATATTTTTGCGGTCCATTATGCGACCGCAGAATCACTCTGCGGACCGCATAATGGCCGCAGAGTGAGGCACTTAATTGGGTCAGTTGAAAGAAATTATGTAGTCGACTATGCGATCGCATAACTGTTATGCGGTGTACTATGCAACCGCATAACTGTTATGCGGACCGCATAGTGACCGCAGACTCAGGTAGATTTTTGGTCATTTTGGACACCAATTATGCAACCGATATGCGGTCCGCATAACCATTATGCGGTCGCATATGCGACCGCAGAACCTGTTCCGGAACTTTATTTTTGAGTTTTTAAAACCCTACCCTACTTCGTTAAATACACGCAAAGGGTCATTTTTGAGCAAATATTCTGATATTTTAGAGAGAAGGGAGAGTGTTTTAGAGAGAGAGAGAGAGAAAACCCTAGGCTAATTATTCATCAAGTCTTGCTCAAATCTTGGAAGATTAACAAGAAAAACCCACAAGTTCTTCATCTAAGAGGTAAGGTTCCATACCCTAGTTTTCAATTTCGAATTTGGGTAGAAGATGGTTGATTAGGAGTATGATTCATGGGTATGAGAGTATTATTTATACATGCATGTACCAATAAGAATTGTGGGAAGATTGTTGAACTTAAATAAGTAAGGATTGGGTTGTGGAGTGAAGTAAATCTTGTAGAAGAACCTTGTGGTTAAATTTGCACA